TCAAGTTGTTCCCATTTGACAAGAGGATCCATGTCGTGGTGGGTTCTTTTTTAGAAATATACGACTATTCCGCGAGTTCTTAGAATTAAGCCGGTCGGAGTTTTTGTTGGTGATTGCATTCACTAGAATTCTGTGTATTCTCAAACAGTTATTGGTTGTATTTAGCTGTGGAACCAAAATGAGTGAAAATGTCATAGTTCCTTTCGTAGTAAATAGGGTTCATTCCTACTTTTTGCTTAGAGCAAGAAACTGGAATGGAACGCTTTCCCAGTCATGCGTATATCAGAAGTGGTGAATAACGACGCAAGCAAGTAGAGCTGAGTATAACACTAGTAGAAAAGGGGCCAATGGTCCAGGCCGGTCCATCCCATTAGTCCCGGTTCAATCCAGAACCGGGACCAATGGGGGCATTGGACCCGGTTCGTGAGCCCCAAGGGCCGGCCGGGCCACGTGGGCCATTGGTCCCGGTTTGTTTGGGCCTATTGGCCCCGGTTGGTGGGACGAACCGGGACCAATGGCCCTCGCTCCTGGCCCACCACCATTGGTCCCGGTTGGTGGCCTGAACCGGGACCAAAGGACGACCATCAGTCCCGGTCCATTCCACCAACCGGGACTAAAGGGTTGGTCCTCGTTGCGGCCAAAATTTAGTCTCACCTCGCCAACCGAAGGGGAATCAGACCGGTTTATAAGCCCCTTCCTCTTTGCCTTATTGAGCTCCTCTGAAAATGAAAATAGATGCCCTTATATAGGGAATTTAGGCTAAATTCATACGAATTTCTCTTGAAATTTGTTATGAATTTAATTTGAATTTCCTCTATAAGCGCATCTATGCTCATTTCTGAGTAGCTTTTTATATAGTTTTTTTTTCTTTTCTGCTATATTTATTTTTTTCTTTTTATTTCTGAGTTGTAATAAGTCATTAAAAATAAGCATATATGCTCATTTTTTAGTAAAGTTAATCATAACTATTTTTTTCTATTTATTTTTGAATTGTAATAAGTCATTAAAAATAAGCATCTATGCTCATATTTTAGTAAAGTTAATCACAACTATTTTTTCTTCTTTTTATTTCTGAGTTGTAATAAGTCATTAAAAATAAGCATCTATGCTCCTTTTTTAGTACAATTAATCACAACTATTTTTTGCTTCAATTCATTTCTGAGTAGTTTTCTATATAGTTTTTTTCTTTTCTGCTATATTTATTTTTTTTCTTTTTATTTCTGAGTTGTAATAAGTCATTAAAAATAATAAAGAGGCGCAATGCTTCTTAATTTGCTTTAAACCTTTCGGAATGGTGTCAACTGCACTGCACATAGCTCTGTGCAGTCTACCGTATTCCTCAAGGCTTGAAGCTAACCAACGTGCAGGAGCATTGAGCCTCTTCGTCATCGTCTCTGCACTCAGGACTTATAAACAGCTGCGAGTGCCTCTCGCTTGGCGAGGTGGGACTAAAAAAACAGCTGCAGGAAGAATTAACAAAAAAACAACTGCAGAAAATAAAAAAATAGTTAGACGGGTCCATTGGTACCGGTTCGTGGCATCAACCGGTACCAATGCCGCTCTTTGGTCCCGGTTGGTGGAATCAACCAGGACGAATGCCCCTCTTTAGTCCCGGTTGGGGCCACCAACCGAGACCAAATGTCTTCGTTTCCCGCCCTTTGGGCTGCTGAAAAGAGGCTTTTGGTCCCGGTTGATGGCACCAACTGAGACTAAAGGGGGGCATTGGTCCCGGTTAGTGCCACGAACCGGGACCAAAGCCTTTGCTATATATAAAGCACTTAGCGCGACTTCAATCTCTCCTGCTCCACTCCCGTCGCCGCGCGTCTCCCTGCCGCCACCTCGCCGTCGTCGCCCCGCCCCGACGC